GGTCCAAGCCATCACCGACAAGAACATCCATGCTTGTCTCCGAATCAAACGTTAGGCGGGCACATGAAAGTTCACTGCACTCCATGGCATCGAACTTTCTTGTTTTTATATAGGTTTTAGGTATCGAGCTCCCAAGAGGTGGCCGTACCACTTACGCTGGCATCTCAGGCAGCCAATAGACAAACCTTTTGCTGAAAATTGACCACGATGTCGAGTCCTATCAGGAGTTACAATACCTGGACACAATACGCCGGCTGGCTAGCCTTATGACTTCTGTACAGAAGATCATGGTCGTGCCACAGCTTTACTCTCCTGACAAGTCCATTGATCAGTTCAGATTCACTATCACCAACAAGCTGACCAGAACTGTGTCCACACTTTGGAGGAAAGTAGTGTTGCTTGGGAAGAGCGCGGGCGTTGCCCAAGCCCGGCATGAGAGTTTGCGAACAATCGTCCTAAGAAAACCTGCTTTTTGAGCAACTGGACTCGTGCGAGCTATCGGACAGTGAGCTACAAATGGTAGTGAGCCGCTAGAGGGAAATGATTAGGCATTCGATTGAGATTTGGTGGGTTTTGATCCGGCATAATAGTCGATAATGACCATGATCAAGCCCGAGCACCGTGCGCCTACTTGGTGTGGTTCCGTCGGCTGAATAGAAGCCTCGCAAATCGTTCAGGTTATACTCTATAGACCACTGAGTTCAATGTAATGGTATCATGGATAATTCGGCTGTGATGTCTACCCAAGGACTCCAAAGGTAATGCTGGTTCGGAACAGTATACCATGTCTTTTTCTATTGGCAGGGGATTCTTCCTTTCATTGAGATTCGTCCTCAAGGCCATCGGACAGCTCATCAGTGATGGCTGCATTGGACATAACATATCCAGAAGACTCCGGCGAACCCAATTGGGACCACATTCTGCCCTTCCAGCTACATAGTGTGCGGGGTTGGGCATGAGAATGATCAGTTTGAGCGGATAGATGTGTTGTGTCTCTGATCGCGAGCTAGGCTTGTCGGCGCCAAATGCGAGTTAAGGCGAAGGCGCGGTTCGCGCACATTTGACATCAGACGCACCGCACAACACTAAAGCTAAAGTATGGGGTTGGTTAGAGGTATGCGCAAGAGAGCAAATGAGTATTGAAGATTGCTGTGGCGGTGGGTGCTTTCCTGACCGCAATTTGGAGGGATGGAGGGAGGGAGAGGGGGGGAAGAAGCATGCCTCGCCACCTGGCAGTTGATTATCCCCTCCCTTTCGGAGATAATCTTGTTTGATAACGATCCGTTGCAGCTGGTGAGAAGCCCCTCGTGCATCACCCAAAAAAAAGGGAAAAAAAGATCGGAAATGTATTGCATGATACAGATCATATATTGGATCATATTGCTTCATCACGTGTTATTTGGATTCCATCGACTCGTGGTTGGCCATGCAAAACCCAGCTCCTATTCAAACAAGGTAGAAGACGATGAGAAGTGCCAGGCATAATCAACCAAATGCGGTCAATGTTCAGCCACTTATCACGCTAAATAACTGGACTAGCAGGGCTTGACCAATCTGAAACAATCCATTGATGATAATGTACTGAGATTACTATGAAACACACTACCTACATCTCTCCGTGCGGCGGTAGATCGTCTGGGGCTGAAGTAGCCTGAGGAACAGAGGATCGAACAATACATACTTTACTAATTGCTATGCTCAAGTGAGTGTAAATCCACATCATAGGTCTCCACCAAATCAAATTGGATCTCCCAGTTAGGCATTTTAGGTAGCCTCCGTGCCGCATATAATTGCGACCATGGTACGATGCCTACCCAACAAGCGATGAGTGTAAGTACCTGACCATACCTGGTGGGATCAAATTTGACTCTCATCTCTAGGAGCGATGTACAGATCGCCTAATTAAGTAGACGAAGTCGTAGGCCCGTGACCCGGCGCAAGTACCAAGTCCCTAGTCTATCATGTTGAAAGAGAACTAACCACTTTGGTGGCTACATACACAGTAAATTCGTGCTTCGCGAAGCAAATCGAATAGTAGAGTACCCCACATATCGTCCGAGCTGTGGAGGTGTCACAATTTGTCCCCTGAAGGTTGAAATCTCGAGTATGAAGGGATCTCGGAAGAAGGACGGATGACAGACAGACAGCGGTCAGAACGTCACAGTGAGGAGAAGATGAGGAGTGCCCCATAGGCTAAGACAATGTAAAACAATGAAGGCGATGGAAGGAAGCGGAGAAGTGGTACACCGCTTCTCCTCTGCTGCACCAATCAACTGCTGACAGCCACTCAGTCTGACATGATGGCGAAATTACGACCCGGAAGAACAGCACTGCAATGCGACTGGAATCATCGATTTGGCCTCAACCTTCCACTTTTCTGCTTATGTATGATACGCTTAGACTACACGCCACGCGCGTCTTCCCCCCCTTTCCCTCGAGTTGGTTTGCTGATTTGCTTGATCCATGGATAGAGGCTGACCGCACCGTTAATTGTTGCATTCATACTTGTGAAGATCCGGTCCCGAACCCTGGTACAGACTCCCGGTTCAAAATTAGTACCTGGCCAGAACCCTAATGTTTCTTTGGAGAAGAGGGGAGGGTGACCTGGTGGAAGTATCATGGATGTTAACAAGACAAAGAAAGGGTGGGAATCCGGCCAAGATTACTGCCTGGGCCCGCGGTATCGTTCAAGAGGCGAATCCTCGAAAAAGACCTCTGACAGTTTGGGCTAACTAACCTCGATCACGATCGGTGATATTCATGACGCAGATCCCATGCGCTAATTTAGGTATGAGTATCCTCAGACGGGGTCTGAATCAGAGGATCATTCCGTCTTACTACATGCACAGTCATGGTCCTGGAGAGCCGAAAAAAAAGAAATTAGACCTATGCTCGACACACTGATGTTTTTCAAGGCTATCATGACTGCCACCGCAGCCGCTATTAGCACTCGAAAATAATTACTCGTCGTTCATTGCAGCAGTATGTACTTGTCGAGAGCCCGATTTCTCTCAGTGTCCAACGACTCCAACTAGACTAGGGTATTCGGTGGGATGCTTTGGCCCAGGTACAGTACGTGCGGTGGTCAGGGCGCAATCCGCCGTCACAGCTTTCAGTTTAGTCAACTGGCTTGTCTCCACTTGATGCGAAAACACTTGCAGAGGCCACGCTCTCGAACCAGCACACCGAGCAGGGAACCCCCTTGCAACATCTCCAGCAGGGAGGAGATCGGTAATAAGCCCCATTATCACCAGACTTTCCTTCGTCATGGTTGTAATCTCCGACGACACCGGTTCGTCGCGCTGGTGAAAACGGAGAGCATTCTTCAAGGTCGACAAGCCCATGACTCGGAGGACTTCCTTGTCAAAGATTACATGGGATCATTCAACGCGGTGAACATACTCATAATATTCGACGCTGCGAGAGGGAGATGACCAGGGGATGATGGATTATGGAGCATGCTAGTTAGTTATAGATTACTAGTTAAATCTTGGGTAAGTTAGTGACTATTGGCCACCCCATCCCAACGAAGTCGTGCAGTAGTATGTCTATTGACCCGGTTGGCTCCAATCACTGATCGCGAAGAAGCGATCCATTCATGATCTGTCCAAAAAGCAAATGATCGACCGAAGGGTGGTCGTTGGAAAGCGACAGCTGGTGAGCTGTCGGAGGGGTTAATAGATTGATTATCAACAATTGGAAACAGGGATGGGCCAATTAGTCTTCAAGAGATCATCTTCAAGATCGAATTGTGCCCCCTGCTTGGTTCAGCAGAATTGCACTTGACAGCACTGCGCAATTCAAGAAACAGGAAATAGATGAGGGCAAATGGTCAGGTAGTTATACTCGAGAAAGGGGGATGAGAGTTATGATGCAATCAATCTAAGGCTGGGGGCGGGCGCCGATAAGAAGGTAGAAGCACCATCGACACCAACAATGAAGTAGATCTTGCTATAGCTCTGTGCAAGAGTATGTACAGTACTTCGGACTTTTTCTTGAATGTACTGTAGGTACGTAGAAGAGCTTCTTCTGATTTTTTGCAATTTTCTTTTTCTAGATTTATAGGTTAAAGGAGAAAAAAAAGGAACTCGATCGCAGAAACAGCAGTGACCGCCGCCGCCGCCTCCCTCACCCCCGCTTGTCTTTCCCAGCCGCCCACGCCTCGCCTGGCTCCTCTTCCCCCCCCCCCCCCCCTCCCCTCTCTGTTGCCGCCTCCCACACTCTAGTTCAGTCAGCCTGCCCGCTCTCCTTCTTCCATCCCCTCTCGTGTACCTGACACACCTTCTGTACTGTACAACAATCAATCCTTATTCTATTTTACTATTCTTATTCTGCATTCTTTCTCCCCCCGAAAGTCTTCCTACCCTCGTTCGTTCGTTCTACTACTTGCTGGTCCACGCTGCTCTTGATATCCTTCCCCACTTCGGCACAAAAAGAAAAAAGACAGCGCAGGGCCTGAGCAGTAGTGACTCCATCGCCCAACGCTTGTGATTCACCACCACCGCTATTGACCGAGATCTCCGCATTGTCACGAACGCATCGTTAGGGGTGCGACCTGCCCTCAACACTCCACCCCTCCATCCCCTCCCCTTCCATCGAGCCTGTCCTTACTTGTGTGTCCACAAGTAGTGGTCACCAAAGTCTCTTTTCGTGCCTGAAAAAATAGACTCTCGAGGCGTTCATTGTGTGTGAGTCGCTGTTCTTCTCCGAGATCAGCTCCGCCAAACCACCCCTCAGCCCCTCCCCGTCCCCTTACTCCGTACAGAGCTCGTTATCTCACGGAGCACACCGCCTACCAGCCATTGATCCCTGACTCCTCGGCTCTCGTGCTTTAATCTCGGTCTTCCTCTCTGTTTTCCTTGCAATCGCAGGCTGAGATTGACGCCCTCCAAACTCGCATCACCTTCCGTCCCTACCATGTTATAGCCCGCTCACTGACCGATTACGGCCCCTGAATGGTTATTAGTCCAGTGATTCTCATTCCAAACTGCCCGCCTACCATGGCATTCAAAAACGGACTTAGTGAACGCCTCGACGAGCTGCGATTCCCCTCTCCGCGATCACCTCCCTCCGAATCCCCGTTTCCTGGCTACAATGCGCTCTCTCCGACCCATTCGAACTTCGTTTCGGCGTTTTCGCGTCCATCCGGTGACGTTCGTGCCAATCTCCAACGCCGCTTCACAACAGACTCGAGTAAATTGACCTCATGGAACTATGTGAACGGTGTTGGCGGTGGTGCACCGGCGCAGGACCCTCTAGATCTCCTTTCATCGGTGAGTCTAGTATTTTACTGGATATCTTTGTTGTGACCTAGTATTATGTCCCCATGCAGTCACGCTGGGCCACGCGGTTCCAGCACTATAACTGTTCGACAAGTACCCATGTGCCGCGTGCTTGCAAGCAAGGTCTTTGTTCTCGCCCTCTGTGGTGATCATTGGCTGTATTTGCAGTTCATCAAGTGGTTCCCACACTCACTTGACTGTCCTTTCCTGTACCAGAGTACCCACTTCTTGTCTGAAGACAAGCACCGCCTTCCCTACTCTGATGTAATATAAGCCCAGCGCATGCCACCAGGTCTTCGTGTTCTTGGCGTGCAAATCATCGTGTTCTTGTGTTCTCATGTTCTCATGTGCTCGGCGCTCAGAAGTGTCGTGTTGCTAATTGACTGCAGTTTGAGAAAAAGCGTCAGCATATTGAATACATGCGAGAGCAGAGGCGGAGATTTGAAGAAGACATGAAACTCTTAGACTTGCAGCACGAGAAAGAGAAGCTGGAAATGGACCAAATCGCGAAGGATCTCGCCAAAGCCGGGTTGTCTGGACCGGTCAGTGAGCCGACGACGCCGCCAGAATATCACGATAGCAGCCTTCCTGGCTTCACCCGTCCTACTCGGTTCTCAACCTCCAGTGTGACTTCATCTCCTGGCTTCTTCAACGTCTTTGCGCCATCTCAAGTGACCACCCCCCAGAGTCAAGTGAACCATAGCTCTGCCCAGACCCCGACAAATCGGTTTTCTGTTCACTCTGTTCCTGGTTCTCGAAGGAACTCAGAAAAGGAGGATTTCAGCCAGGAGCCTGCATCCCCTTTCCGTCCAGGACCATCGTAAGTTTCACTTCCCATTTCTTATAGGCACTGTCTTGCCCTTTTTCGGATACTCGGGCACTTCCTGAGGCCATATACCTGAAGGTGTAGTGAGGCGGCTTGCAAGGCTCCTGTATCAGCAAGTAACACAATTCATTCACTGTGGCCTTGCTGTGAATATACCCAAGCCACTGTGAAATGTCACTTCTCTCTTCATTCACAGCATCCTGGCATCTCCTTGATGCCTCTTTCACCGCCTTAAAGATCTCTCTCACCGCCTCGCTTTTCATACCTCAAAGAGTCATCAACTGACAATACTTAGCATTCACCGGTACTCAATGCCTTCATCTGGGCTAGGCTCCCAGATTCGTCCCAATATAACTTCCTTCGATCGCTCTTCCGGCCTGGAGTCCTTCAACGCCGCAAAGTACTTGTTCCACAGCGAAGACGATCCATCGATGCTGAAGGACGAGGATAGAATCCCAACGCCCGATATCAAGAGTTATCTCAAACTGACGGACCCCGACGATAAGTTTCCTACTCTTTCACGACGTGACGATTCAGGCCTGGTAAGTCTTCTCGAAGCCTTTTGTAATCTTATTCTTACCCAGATACCCAGTTATCCGCGAACTCGGATGCTCTAGACCTTGCAAACTCGCGAACTCCGAATCCTGAGACTTGGAACTCTCACAGCCGTCACCGTACTTCGCATCAGAGCATGCCTCAGAACGCCCTGAACATGTTCCGTCTCGAACAGCTTGGGGCTTCCGCGGAAGAAGTCCATTCCCACTCAGCTGCTCCTGCACGTCACGTCGCCAGACACTCGCTTGAAGCGAATGTCCTCTATAACGCTGACGGCAAAAACGAAAGCATGTCTGCAACGGTCTCAAACCGACCTACATCTTTGCAGTCCTCTTACTCCACGAACGATCTGCCCACAGTCAAAGGAGATACCTTCAACCCGGCTATCACACCTCCCAAGACTCATGCGGAGCAATTCCAGCCACATAATGCCAACCTGGGACGGATGCCTGGCTCTGGTCCTTCCAACCGCCTACCCAAAGACTCACCTGAACATGAGGAGGCTAAAATTCACGGGTCCAGACCTCAGCAGACGATTCTTCAAGCCAGTGCTGCTCCATTCGGGCCGCAGCTCACCACTGGAGCCGGAGCTGTCAACGGCAACATTGCTGCGCCAACCACACTCACTCCCTTCCAGCCACCTTTCTACGGGTACGGCCTTCAAGGATTCATGGGAGCCCCTACACAGCTTCAGGCGTACAATCCGTCGGCAGCCCCCTTCAATGGCTATCCTATCGCCTATGGTCATTTCCGCCCAGGGGAGGCCCCAGCCAAGGGAGCTGGTACCCGTCGGAGTGGCGACGCAGATGCTGCCCAGCTGTCTCGTTTCACGAACTTTCCACTTGAACACTATCAGGGCGAATTGTACGGTCTCTGTAAGGACCAGCACGGGTGTAGGTATTTGCAGAGAAAGCTCGAAGAGCGTAAACCAGAACATGTTCAGATGATCTTCGAGGAGACTCATATGCATGTTGTCGAGCTTATGACAGGTTCGTATCATGCCTCTACTGATATACAACTCCATGCTAACGTCATGTCCTTTTCATGACAGATCCGTTCGGAAATTACTTATGCCAGAAGCTGCTGGAATATTCGAATGATGACCAGCGTACGGCTCTAATCAACAATGCTGCACACCAGCTAGTGAAGATCGCTTTGAACCAGCATGGTACCCGAGCACTCCAGAAGATGATCGAGTTCATTTCCACTCCAGAGCAAATCCAGACAGTGATTCACGCTTTGAAGGATCAGGTGGTGGAGTTGGTTCAAGACTTGAATGGAAACCATGTTATTCAGAAATGTCTCAATCGCCTCTCTGCAGAAGACGCCCAATTCATCTACGATGCTGTTGGCGCCAACTGTGTGGTAGTTGGAACTCATCGGCATGGGTGCTGTGTTTTGCAGCGTTGTATTGATCACGCCTCTGGCGAGCAGAGGGCGCGCCTCATCGCTCAGATTACATCCAACGCATTCGCGCTTGTACAGGATCCTTTCGGAAACTACGTTGTGCAGTACATTCTGGACCTTGCAGAGCCTCATTTTACTGAGCCTCTGTGCCAGACTTTCCGCGGAAACATTCCGGCTCTGTCCAAGCAGAAGTTCAGCTCGAACGTGATTGAAAAGTGCTTACGCACTGCTGACGTCCAAATCAGACGTCAGCTGATTGATGAGATGCTGGCAGGTGCGGAACTCGAAAAGATGCTTAGGGACTCTTTCGCCAATTATGTCGTGCAAACGGCAATGGACTTTGCGGACGCCGACACACGTACACGCATTGTTGATTGCATTCGCCCTATTTTACCGTCCATTCGCCAGACCCCACATGGACGTCGTATCGCCGGCAAAATGTTGGCCTCGGAGGGCTCTGGCAGGGGCAGCGCTTCCACCAGCGGCCAGGTCACTCCCAATGAAATGAACTCAGCCCAGCTTCCTGGTCCGTTGCAGAGCCCAACACAGAAGTCATTCTTGTATCAACACAGCCCATTCCCCATTTCCAATGTCGGTTCCCAATTTGGAAACCAGACATATGCATTCAATCCTGGCTCCGTTGCAGCCGCTCACACTGGTTCTGGCGGTGCTGCGGACAAAAGCAGCCTTTTCGCTTCGACCATTCCGCAGCCCAACAGCAACCACAGTAACCAGAATCCGGTTTTCGCCAACTACTGAGCTGCGATATCCCACAACGAAGCGCCAGTCCCATGTTTACTGAACTGTACTCATATTGAGACGATGACACGATCCTCATGATTCACGGCCACACCGACATATCGCCAGCAGATTGGAAGATTAGGATACTGATACCATACGACAAGACCTTATCTCATGCAAGATGCACTGCATATCTGGATCATTCTTGGCGGCAAGATGTAAACCATTGATAAATGCTTTTTTATCACATTTGATGTCCTGTATTTTTTTTCATTGCTAACAGAACTTACGTTTGTCACGTCCCTCGACGAGGGTTTTTCGAACAATGTCTTTAAACCCTTTTGCCGTCTGATCCCATTCCAGCAGACTAGTGAGCTTCCTAGTATCTGGCTTGGGGACAGATTGATGTCTCATGCCTTGCCCTTTCTTTTAAGATCCCCCCAATGTGCTTCTATCCACTTCCCCATGATTTACTTGTGCTATTTTTCTCTCGCCTTGTTCTCTATTTACTATCATCTGGCTTTGTTCGTTTTTCTTTTTCTTTTTCTTTTTCGTTCTATTTTGTCGTCTACCTGGACTCTGGTATGTTGATGCCTGCCGATGGAGCTTGTGGCCGTTCTTTCTGGACTCATCTGGAAAGCATCGACGACTGGTTGTTTTCGGGCTTCATCCGACATTTTGCCTGTTCTTTTGCTGCAAGTGCATTTGGGGTCTATGACTACCAATTTCTATTGGCCAGCGCCGTTCAACATCAGAGACAGTACCATAGATGTACCCATAGTTGATCAAACAGAGGATGTTTCTTTGTAATGACGGTTCTGCATAAGAGACCATTATAAATCACCTGAAATAAACATAAAGCATCAAACACGTGATTCCGCGTTACCCGCGTTTCTTCTCCGGCGGAGATCTTCAGTGCTGGCTGTGGCTTATCGGAGCGCGATCTGCCCCAAACCCCGTCCCTGTCCGAGATTCTTCTACTCCAAGTCAAAGCAGCGTCCACCTCTCCATTCTAGGCACCTCAGGGTGTAGTATTGAGTTCCTGATGCTTCCCTCCGAGATTGCCCAGTCGATCAGCAAACAATGGCCTTGTCGCGAGCTCCAAAGCCGCCAACTTGCTAGCCTGCTCGGCGTACGTCCGTCCGTCCGTCCATGAATTTGTCGTCCCCGATAAACCCTTCTCCTTCCCTGTCAACGTCCGCATGGCCATTCCTGCTTTCTGGCTCTATCGATCGCTCAAAACTAATACACTAACAACGTCGCGGATCACCAACAGGCCAAGGTCTCCAGCCCATCCACCATCGTCGTCCATGGGATCTCTGCCACCTGCAAGACCACCATCGTGCGCAATGTGCTCGCCGCCCTCGACGTCCCGAACGCGCTCGTCCGCAGCCCCGAGTGCATCACCGGCCGCCATCTGCTCACCAAGATCCTCTGGGCTACCCTGGAGGCCCTGGGCAAACGCGATGAGTGGGAGAAGTACGGCAAGGGACGCTGCGAACACGTCAGTACGCTCGCGGTGCTGCTGAACGAGTGTCTCGCTTCGGCTTTCGCTTCTTCGCAGCAACAAGAAGAACCGCCGGCCGAGCAGCAGCAGCCGACACGCAACCATCGAAACAAATTCGTGCTGGTCCTTGATGGGATTGACAAGCAGAGGGAGGCGCCACCTACACTACTGGCTGCGCTGGCGAGACTGGGAGAGGTGGTATGCTTTTTTTTTTCGTTGCCTCTACTTCTTTACCTCTGTGGTTGACTGGGGGGTGCTTCTATGTTTATCCTCTGCATTAAGAGTTTGGGGATAAATTACTGACTACTTTCAAATTTTTTTCGGCGACATCAGATTCCTTCGCTATGCGTCGTCCTCGTCCTAAGTACCCCTCCACGACCGCTCTTCCTACAATCTGCCGGCGTCCCACATATCAGTTTCCCCCCCTACACGCGCAATGAAGCCACGACCATCATCCTCCAGGGCGGTCCGCCGCCCGTTGCTGCTGCTGCCGCCTCTGCCACCCTAGGCCTGTCAGACGCCGTCGCATCGACCCTATACCCGCATTTCGTGGCGGCCGTCTACGACTCTCTGGTCGGGCCGACGGCCAGCTCCATCCCGACCTTCCGGTCGATCTGCGAGAAGCTGTGGCCGCGGTTCGTGGCGCCCATCACGACAGGCGAGACTCCGCCGGGGGGCGTGGGGGAGTGGGATTTCACTCGGCTGCTGGTCAAGAATCGGGCCCTGTTCCGGCAGCAAGGGGAAGGGGCGCTGGTGCATCACATTGTTACGGAGGAGGATGAGGCGGAAGCGCCTGTCGCGAAGGGTGCGACTGCCATCTCCTCCTCCTCCACCACCAACAAGCCCAAATCCCTGTCTGCCGCGTCGGCCCCATCGCCCCTACCTTCCTTGCCGTACTTCCCCACCTTGATCCTCACCTCGGCCTATCTCGCCTCGCACACGCCGCAACGGCTAGATACGATCTTCTTCTCCAAGTTCTCGTCGTCCTCGCTCTCCGCGCGGAACAAGCGCGCGCATCACCGGCGACGGCTGAAGCTGCTCTCGCGGGCGCAGCTGGAGGAGGCTGCGTCGTCGGCGGCGGACCCGTCGACTCCGGGCAGCCGGAAGAAGGGCAAGCGCACCAAGACGAAGATCACCAAGTCGACGCTGGAGTCGGCCTTTGCGACCTCGTCTGCGACGACGTCGGCGGTGGGCGGCGGCGGCGGCATCACCGGCCCCTCGACCATCCTGACCGCACGCCCGTTTCCTCTCGAGCGGCTGGTCGCCATCTACCATGCCATCGACCCCAACCCCCCTGCCAATCCGATTCGCATGGCGGCCGTGTCCGACGCGATCTATGCCGAGTTGGCTACGTTGCGGCGGCTACGGTTGGTGGTGCCTGCGGCGGGTCGGGAAGGTCGTGTGGGGATGGGGTCCGGTGGGTTGAGTAGCGGGAATACCACGTCCGATACCGGGGAGAAATGGTGTGTGAATGTTTCAGGGGATTGGATCGGGGAGTTGGCGAAGACGGTCGGCGTAGAGGTGGGCGAATGGTTGGCGGGAGGTCTGGATTAAGAGGACCCTGCTTCTTTTTTTTTTTTTTTTTTTTTTTTTTTTTGACTTTCTTT